TAGTGATAACAGCCAACCAAACAGAAAATTGGTTGGGAAGAACATGTTTGATACTCAAATGGAGCGGTGCTCGAACAGCCTTCTGGAATAACTTAAGGTCGCATACCGAGGTTCCACTGTACAGTGGACCCTCGACATTCGATACTAATCCGTTCCTGAGAGCTATCAAGTGTCGAAAATATTAAAAGTCGAATTAATTTTCCCCATAAGAAATAATGGAAATCAAATTAATCCATGCAAGACACCCAAAAGTATAAAAAAAAAAAAAATTACCAAATGAAATATTAAGTTTAATGCAATAGAATAATTACAATAACAATAGATTATAACAATAGAATAATTGACACTTACCTTTAATGAAGATCTGGTGATGATTGATGGGATGGGAGGAGGGGAGAGTGTGGATGGTGTTAGTGTTTAGAAGGGGAATCCCCTTCCATTAGGACTTGAAATGGCAGCCTCACCATGCCTTACCACACTGTGTATGCCACTATGATTCTTAAATCTTTAAAACCCAACCTTTTGCTGGCCTTAACTTCACTCACATCACCACTAGTTGCAGGCAATTTCTTTACCAAATCATCATGCACCCCGGGAACACACGCACTCCACTTTCGTACTTTGCAATTATCTCTTTCTTCATTTCAATAGTCATTAGCACCTTTTTTCTCGAAGGGTTGGCACTAGAAGCTTTCTTGGGGCCCATGGTTACTTATTTTGCAGAAACAAGCACCAAAAACAGTGATAATATGGATAATATGGAATGTACCGAATGTATCCTTAGATGCACACACACTGGCTGGCTTGTAAACACCGGCACACACGGGGCAGCTCAGGCCGCACATGGACATGTCTCGTACGAATCATATCGAATGTTGGGTTTTCCATCGAATGTCGAGGCGAAATTTTTGCGTTAAAATGCATCGAATGTCGGATTTATCAAATATCGATGCCATCGAATGTCGGGGGTCCACTGTATTACTATATAGAAAGCCCTTTGTTATGCAGAGCATTTCATGCAGATTAGTTCAGCTTTGTCACAGGATGTGACCCACACCAGTCAACTAACACCCAAGTACCCATTATAACTTATGGGTGACCATGGACAACAGGTGTAAGGAAACACGCCCAATGTTTCTACTCTCACCAAGAGTCAAACTCAGACCTTCATCGTGTGAAGCGAGAGCTTTTACAACCAGGCCACGAGCCACATCTTTGTGTATATCTGATATGAGGATAAGGAACAGGATAGGAGTGAGTACTGTGCCTTGTGGAACAGAGCTCTTCACTGTGGCAGCTTCCAATTTAACTCTGTTTACTACTACTCTTCGTGTTCAGTTGGTTAAAAAATTAAAGATCCCTCTGTCCATTCTGCCAGTTATCCATTTAGCATGGATTTGTGTGCTATTACACCATGATTGCACTTGTCAGATTCTTTTGCAAAATCTTTGTATACTACATCTGCATTCTGTTTGTTTTCCATTGCATCCAAGACCATATCATAGTGGTACAGTAGTTGCGAGAAGCAGGAGTGACCCGCTCTGAACTCATGTTGCCCTGGGTTGTGCAGTTGTTGGGAATCCAAGTGGTTTGTAATCCTGCTTCTTAGAACTATTTCAAAGATTTTTATGATGTCGGAAGTTAGAGCTATTGGTCTATAGTTCTTAGCTATTGGTTTACTGCCACCTTTATGGAGTGGGGCTATATCTGTTGTTTTTAGTGACTGTGGAATCTCACCTGTGGCAAAACAGTGATGGTGTGAGTGATGGAGCAAGTGTTTCATTTTTATCAAATGACCCTACCTTCGTGGGAGATAATTTGTGTTTAAAATAATAATGATTGGTGGATGAATTTGGTAGGGTGTGCAAAAGAAGAAAATTAAAAGTGAATACAGGAAAGAGTAAGGTTATGAGGATAACAAAAAGACTAGGTGATGAAAGATTGGATATCAGATTGGAGGGAGAGAGTATGGAGGAGGTGAATGTACTCAGATATTTGGGAGTGGACGTGTCAGTTTACCTGGAGACCTGGATGGGTCTATGAAAGATAAGGTGAATCATAGAATTGATGAGGGGAAAAAGGTGAGTGGTGCACTTAGGAGTCTGTGGAGACAAGAACTTTGTCCTTGGAGGCAAAGAGGGGAATGTATGAGAGTATGTTTTAAACCAAGCTCTTATATGGGTGTGAAGCAGGGGTGATGAATGTTGCAGCGAGGAAAGGCTGGAGCAGTGGAGATGTCATGTTCTGGGGGCAATGTGTGGTGTGAATATAATGCAGAGAATTCGTATTTTGGAAGTTAGGGAAGGGTGCGGGATTACCAAAACTGTTGTCCAGAGGGCTGAGGAAGGGTTGTTGAGGTGGTTCGGAATGTAGAGAGAATGGAGCGAAACAGAATGACTTCAAGAGTGTATCATCTGTAGGGGAAGGAAGGCGGGGTAGGGGTCGGCCTAGGAAAGGTTGGAGGGAGGGGTAAAGGAGTTTTGTGTGCGAGGGGCTTGGACTTCCAGCAGGCATGCGTGAGCGTGTTTGATAGGAGTGAACGGAGACAAATGGTTTTTAATACTTAGACGGCTGTTGGAGTGTGAGCAAAGTAACATTTATAAAAGGGTTCAGGGAAACCGGAGGCCGGACTTGAGTCCTGGAGATGGGAAGTACAGTGCTGCACTCTAAAGGAGGGGTGTTAATGTTGCAGTTTAAAACTGTAGTGTAAAGCACCCTCTGGCAAGACAGTGATGGAGTGAATGATGGTGAAAGTTTTTCTTTTTCGGGCCACCCTGCCTTGGTAGGGAATCGGCCAGTTTACCTGGAGAGAGTTCCGGGGGTCAACGCCCCCGCGGCCCGGTCTGGACCAGGCCTCCTGGTGGATCAGAGCCTGATCAACCAGGCTTTTTGCTGCTGGCTGCACGCAAACCAACGTACGAGCCACAGCCCGGCTGGTCAGGAACCGACTTTAGGTGCTTGTCCAGTGCCAGCTTGAAGACTGTGTGATAATAAAAAAAATAAAAATAATTCTAGTAATAATAATTGATTAATAAAATGTAAATTTTCAGTTTTATTTTGCAGGTGATTTCGATAAAAGCCGAAGCTCGTGTCAACACTGCAGGCCATCGAGGTGCAAGAAGATGGCACTTGTAGTGCCAATACTGCAGGTCATCCTGGTACAAGAAGGTGGCGCTTGTAGTGTGCGTGCTGCAGTTCATCCTGGTGCAAGAAGGTGGCGCTTGTAGTGTCAGTACTGTAGGTTGTCCTGGTACAAGGTGGCACGTTTAGTTCCAAAATCAGTGTTAGAAATCTCCTGTAAGTTCTGTAAATACTGTTATGTTTATATAGTGACAAGATAAGATAAGATAAGATAAGATTTCGTTCGGATTTTTAACCCCGGAGGGTTAGCCACCCAGGATAACCCAAGAAAGTCAGTGGTCATCGAGACTGTCTAACTTATTTCCATTGGGGTCCTTAATCTTGTCCCCCAGGATGCGACCCACACCAGTCGACTAACACCCAGGTACCTATTTGCTGCTAGGTGAAACAGGACAACAGGTGTAGGAAACGTGTTGAAATGTTTCCACCCGCCGGAATCGAACCCCCGGGGCCCCCCGGGGTGTGAAGCGGGAGCTTTAGCCACCAGGCCACCGGGCCACCGGGCCGCCGGGCCACTAACTACACTACACTAACACTAACTACATTGTTAATACAGTGATATCACCCCGCGAAGCTTACAGAGATAAGAGAGAAATAAATAGTAAGAAAATAGAAGAAAACCCAGAGGGGTGTGTGTATTATATGGCTTGTACATGCATGTTTAGCGTGACCTAAGTGTAAGTGGAAGTAACAAAACATACCCGAAATCCTGCATGTTTTTGAGACAGAACAAGAAACCCAGCAATCCTACCATCATGTATAAAAATATACAGGCGTTCCGTTTTACACTCACTTGGCAGGATGGTAGTACCTCCTGGGTGGTTGCTGTCTGCCAACCTACTACCACAAAGGGTGGTAGTACCTCCCTCAGCAGTTGCTGTCTACCAACCTACTACCACAGGAGGTAGTACCTCCCTGGGTGGTTGCTGTCTGCCAACCTAAATACCACAGGATGGTAGTACCTCCCTGGGTGGTTGCTGTCTGCCAACCTACTACCCAGGATGGTAGTACCTCCCTGGTGTGGTTGCTGTCGCCAACCTACTACCACAGGATGGAGTACCTCCCTGGGTGGTTGCTGTCTACCCAACCTACTACCCAGGGGTGGTAGTACCTCCCTGGTGGTTGCTTGTCTACCAACCTACTACCACAGGATGGTTTGTACCTTCCTGGGTGGTTGCTGTCTACCAATCTACTACCACAGGATGGTAGTACCTCCCTGGGTGGTTGCTGTCACCAACCTACTACCTAGACATCAATAATTATTGTTAATAATAATGTTTTACATTAGTGTTAATACAGTAACAATTAATGTTAAATATAATTAAAACACTAACAAAAGTGTTAAGCAAAACTTACAGGGGTTAACAACCAATGCTTAGGGTTAATTGTCATCCATCTACTCCTCATACTTTCTATTTTAAATTACCTTACTGGTTTATGCTTGTTATATTTAAAAAATACTACAGGAAATATTATTTTCTGTGTAACAAAAATCTTATTGTTCACTATGTCTAAAATACTTAAAAACAGTATGTTGAACTCAACACAATTACATGTTCATTTTCGAGACCAATTGATCAACAATCACAAATCACTCAAAAAACAATCTTCACAACAACCTCAGTGTGATATCTGACGAATTTATTACAGACAAAAAACACTTCAATGTCAGTGTGTCCTGAAAGATTTTCTGAAAAATACTGCTTACTACGCACATGAAACTCAACGGGGAGAAAGCCATATCAATGCTTGAATGTCTGAAAGACTTTTCTGAAAGTTTCATTTAGTCTTCACAAAGAGAACTCATACTGGAGAGAACCATATCAGTGTTCTGAATGTCAGGAAAGATTTTCTAGAAAATGGATTTAGTAAGTAACATGAGAAACTCATACTGGAAAGAAGTCATATCAGTGTTCCGAATGTCTGAAAAAACTTTTCTAATAAATTTAATTTCGTAAGACACATGAGAAACTCATACTGGAGAGAAGCCTTATAAGTGTTCAGAATGTCTGAAAGACTTTTCGGGGAAAATAGATTTTGTAAAAAAACATGAGAAAATCATACTGGAGAAAAGCCATAAACAGTGTTCTGAATGTCTGAAAGACTTTTCTCGAAAATCACATTTAGTAAGTCACTTGAGAATTCATACTGGAGAGAAGCCATCTCAGTGTTCAGAATGTCTGAAAGACTTTTCTGGTAAATCAGAATTAGTAAAACACATGAGAACTCATACTAGGGAGAAGCCATATCAATGTTCGGAATGTCTGGAAGATTTTTCTGGAAAATCTGATTTAGTTAAACATATGAGAATACATACTGCACAGAAGCTGTATCACTGTTCAAAATGTCTGGAAGACTTTTCTGGAAAATTTGATTTAGTAAAACACATGAGAACTCATACTGCACAGAAGGCATATCACTGTTCAGAATGTCTGAAAGTCTTTACTGAAAAGTTTAATTTGGTCATTCACATGAGAACTCATACTGGAGAGAAGCCATAATCAGTGTTCAAAATGTCTGAAAGACTTTTCTCAAAAAGCAGATTTAGTCAGTCACTTGAGAACTCATACTGGAGAGAAGCCATATCGCTGTTCAGAATGTATGAAAAACTTTTGTGTAAAATCAGTATTAATTAGACACATGAGAACTCATACTGGAGAAAAGCCATATCAGTGTTTAGAATGTCTGAAAGACTTTTCTCGAAAATCAGGATTAGTTATTCACATGAGAACTCATACTGGAGAGAAGCCATATCAGTGCTCAGAATGTCTGAAAGACATTTCTACAAAATCACATTTAGTAAGACACATGAGAACTCATACTGGATAGAAGCCATATTAATGTCCAGAATCTCTGGAAGACTTTTTTTAAAAATTATATTTCCAAAGTCAAATGAGAACTTGTACTAAGGAGAAACCTTTGCCTGAAGTGGTGTCATGGTTCATGCGCCAATATTTCTACCTCTACCAACACTGATATTAAAGTAGGGAAGTGTTTTTACGTCTACTTGAAAGACACAAGATAGTGGGAGCATATTACATCATAAACAATACAAACACTAACGAAAAAAAATCCTTTTTCGAGGAATTGAGTTACGTATAACTGGAAAGTGAAGAATTAAGAGAGGTCCTAGAAAGTGCACCAAGGTACAACAATACACAGGGATCATAAAGCAGGACAAGCAGGGAAACTCAGTGATGCTGTCAGTCCTGTTGCTTCCTTCAAAGACAGTGCCTGTGAAGATCTCAAAATAAAGAGGCAGTGTGCCAGCTGGAGATAGTTGTCCTGGTATTTCTGAAGACACTGGTACAGACCTTAACATGAAAAACACTTGAGCAAATGCTAGGACATATTTATTAAAAAACATTTTGGCCCTGGGACCCTGTTCACTTCTAACATACAGAGGTTGAAAGACATATATAGGCAGAGAGTGAGGTGTGACGCATGGTGACCTGAAGAATGCCATGTTGGGATGAAGACGGGTAGACAATGAGATCATGTGACTCCTGTGTTGTTGGTGCTTTGCCTGCTTGAGTATCATATATGCTAATGTTTTAGAAATTTTGTGGTCTGTTTTGTAGTGAGGTCTTTGATAGATGATGTGTTTATGGTGGAAACATTAATGTTACTCTTAGCAAGTGCCCGGTGAGTATTCGTGGCAACATCACCACATGGGAGCACTATGAACTGCTCAGAGGATTGTTCCTTGGATGGTTTGTTGAAGATAGCTTGTGCCTAGAGTCTGCAATCTTGGATAAAGAAAGATGGAAACTGAAGACGTGTAAGGGCTTGTGCTATGAAAATACATTCTTCTTCAAGAAAACAAGGGCTGGAGATGCGAAGAGGTCTCAAGAAGAAGCCAATGAGGACTCCTCTTTTAGTGCGGGTGTCTTGGTGTGAATAGAAGTGTATAAGATCATCCTTGTTGGTAGGTTTTCTGTGTAGTACTTTGAAGAGAAGTTTGTCACTGTTGGGAGATCTGCACAGTAGGACGTCGAGAAAAAGAAGTTTGTCATCCTTTTTTGAGTTCAAGTGTAAACTTTATTGATGGTTCGGCTGCATTGATCTTGTTGAGAAGGGCCTGGATATTGAGACATCGACGATAGAAAACTAGTATATCATCAACGTATCTTAGCCAGGTAATGGTGTTGGGAATGAGGCTGCTGAATTTCTGTCTCCAGGTTTTTCATGAAGAGATTGGCAAGCACAGCACTGAGCAGGCTGCCCATTGCCATCCCAAAGCACTGTTTGTAACAGTTGTCCTGATACTTGAAGTTGAAATTAACATAGAGATCCACTAGACTGATGAAATCTAGAAGAGGTAAAGGGAGGTCGTAGTTTTCAGTGAGCCTCTGTCTCAGAATGTTTATTGCAGCATCAGTAGGAATGTTGGTAAAGAGGACTATGATATCGAAGGAAGCCATGAAATTCGAGAGAGAAGGTCACCTGAGTGAGGTGGGCTTGACTTATGGTGCCCAGAAGTGCTGAAAGGTATTTGGCAAGGTGGCCAGCTAATCTAAACCAACTTTTAGGTATTTATTACCTAGGTTTATATCAGACCTACACATACAAGATCTAGGAATATAAAATAGAGCTTCAGCTTGTGGGGTCAAAAATGCAGATAAAGCTTTGCAAAATGGTGTTGATACATTACTAGAAATAACTGGTGGTGATGCAGATAGTGGAGGGGGATGTCAGAGAAAACTGCACCATTAGGGAATCCAGCCTCTTCAAGGGGGCTCTGTGACATGGCGAAGAGGCTCGTGGTCTAAGGGATTAAGCCCTTTGGTCTCCTTCCTCAAACTGAATCTAAGTATCCCCCATAATCTTCCCTATCCCATCCTCCCCATCCCCCCCTTTTTCCCCTTTCCTCCCCCCCTCCCAACCCCTCCCCTTTCACTATCTCGTTCGTAGTCTCTGGGGTCCTCCCCTCTGGCATTACTGTTTCTAGGTAGGGGAAAGTGCGCTGGGGTTCATCCCACTCCATAGGGTCCCTCAGGGGTGGTGTAGTTTGCCGTGGAATTTGAATTGTCTGGAGGTGCCCTACTCCCTTCCCGAATTTCCGAGAAGTGGGTGGGGTGTCCTGCAGATGATGGGTGTATCTCCAGAGGCTGCCTGTCGGTTCTGGGAGGTGACAGCCGAAGGAGGTATACTTTGTGGCATGTTTCCGACTGCCCTTTCTTTTCCCGGAGTGCTGGTTTACTGGTTGAAGGGTAGGGTATGGTTATGGGTTCCATGCTGCATCAGCACTGATAGTGGGCTCAAGGCCCTCTTGGATGAGGGGGAAGAACTTACGGCCCTTCCGTGCCTTCTTGTGACTGTCCCTCTTTTTTTTCTTTCCTTCTTTCTTTTTTTCTTTAAAGTAACAAGAAAAAAGCACCACTATCATAGAGTCTCCGTTCTGTGATAATCCTCCTCCTCCCACGCCCCTTTCTGTTCCCACTTCCTGTTCTGACGTGGCTTCATTACTGAACCATTCTCTAGTCTCTTCTCATACCCCTGTACCCTCTGCTGGTGACGCTTCATCACCTGCTCCAGGTGCTTAGGAGCCACCCATTTCTGTTAATGCTTCTGCCTCTTGCATGCCTTTAACAATGCATCCTGCTTCCCTGAATGCTGTGTGACGGCTTTTGGATTGCCCACCTCCCTCAGGTTGGACTGTCCACAGTACTACTAAACATTCCAGAAGATCTACTGACGACGGTTCTTCGATGTTTGCCCAAAAACGACCTATGCGACACCCACTTCCTTTGCACACCATGTTTACAAGTATGCAGCGAACTGAATTCTTTTCCCTACAACCAACATCTCCAACTGATTATCTTTCTGATCATAGTATTGGTAAAGCTCTTTTACGGCACAGCCAAAATACATATATCCTTTCACACTCTTCGAAGTGGTATGTGTGTTATTACAGTTCAGAATTCAGAACAAGCTCATGATCTTTCCCATATAACTTCCATAGATAACATTCCGATCACAGTTCATAAGCATGCTACTCTCAATTCTTGCAGTGGTATGGTGGTTTTACCACGTACCATTGTACAGAGTGATTTTCTGTCTTGCAGCAATATTTTAGAGCAATTAACCCTTCAGGACCTTCCTGTTCTCAAAGTGGATACATACGTCCTTCCTGCTCGTGGGCAGAGGCCCTTTCCCAGTAACATCTGCCGCCTAACCTTCAAGTGCTATGAACTCCCATCCTCCATTTATATTGCAGGCCATCGCCTAGAGGTCTGTAAAGTAGTCCCTACTCTCCAACAATGTTGTAATTGCTGGCGCTTTGGACACTCCGCTAAATATTGGAGATCTGTGGTGCCGCAAATCATGCCGATACATCTAGCGGTCTTCCCTCCTCTTGTCTCAATTGCAATGAATCTCATCCTTCTTTTTCACACCGTTGCCAAGTCTATCGTAATGAACGAGAAATCTGTTATCTTAAGGAGAGTGATGGCTTAGCGCTTCTTTTTATTATAATAATAATTAAGGAGAGTGAAGGCCTTACACCATGGCTCTCTCTCAGCTCCACCTTCAGGGAAATCTTCCTCGTGTTTCTTATTCTCGAGTAGCTCCGAGACCTCCCACCCTGATGGTCCTCCCACCTACCAGCTCCTCTGCTATCATGTTTTCTAGAGTCACCCCCCTTTTCTAATTCTTTTGTGGTTTTACCCTCTGAAACTCAGACCTCCATACCTCTTCCTGCTTCTACTTCATCTTGCTCGCTAGTTTCTCAGTCTATGAGACCTTGCAAGCCTACACCTTCGTGCCTATCACCTGTGAATTTGAATCTATCTTCTACCTCGGTGCCTAGTTCTTACCCCCTTTCTAACTCTCACACAAAGGTGGAGGTTCACCCACTCCCTCATTTAGTCCCCTCTTCTCCTGTTCCACCCCAGTCTTCTTCCCTAGTTGCCTTCAAACCTCCTTCCTCTCCAGTTCCACTGCAGGACACTCCTGCCCCCGCCAATGACTGTGGGATGGCCCCAATGTATATGCTCCCTCTCGATAAAATATTTAAGGTATGTAAAAGGGGCTTCTTGCAGTTCTTGATGAATATGTAGTTCCATGAGTCTGGGCCTGGGGCAGAGTGCATGGGCATGTCACGTATTGTTTTTTTCAGTGTCCTGTAGTGTGACGATTATGTAAGAAATTCTTGAATTCACCAAATTTTGAGTCTTAGTCATAAAAAATTAATTTAGATTGTCGACCCTTAGTCTGGTTAATTGCTGACTAAACACCGAGTCATATTGGGATTTTAGTATCTCGCTCATTTCTTTGCTGTGATCTGTGTAAGCCAGCTTATTTAAGCAAAGGCCGAATACTGGATGTGATTTTTGCCCTAGATTTACCTGGAGTCTACCTGGAGAGGATTTCAGAAGTTAAGAACATAAGAACATAAGAAAGGAGGAACACTGCAGGAGGCCTGCTGGCCCATACTAGGCAGGTCCTTTACAATTCATCCCACTAACAAAACATTTACCCAACCCAATTTTCAATGCTACCCAAGAAATAAGCTCTGATGTGAAAGTCCCACTCAAATCCAACCCTTCCCACTCATGTACTTATCCAACCTAGATTTGAAACAACCCAAAGTCCT